CCCAGGGCGCAGGCACAGGGCTCAGGGCCCAGGCACAGGGCACAGGGCACAGGGCACAGGGCACAGGCACAGGGCACAGGCACAGGTTGTGCGTGATCCACAGTGCGTTACTGCAGAAAACCCACAAGGACCAAAAGACCTACTCAGGTGTCCATCAATAGGAAACGGAATAAATTACTTATTAAGTAAAATATTATAAAACTCATACACTGGAATACTATGCAAGTGTTTTAAAAAAGAACACAAGTCCTAACCGGTTTGGGTCAGCGGATAGAGCGTCGGCCTGCAGACTGAAGGGTTGCAGGTTTGGTTCCGGTCAAGGGCATGTACCTTGTTGCAGGCACATCCCCAGTGGGGGGTATGCAGGAGGCAGCTGCTCGATGTTTCTCTCTCATCAATGTTTCTAACTCTCTCCTCTCCCTTTTCCTCTCTGAAATCAATAAAAAAAAATTTTTTTTAAAAAGAAAGAAAAAGTACTATGTCCGGCTGGCGTGCCTCAGGGGGTGAGGGTTGACCTATGAACCAGGAGATCAGAGTTCGATTCCCATTCAGGGCACAGGCCTGGGTTGCGGGCTTGATCCCCAGTGCAGGAGGCAGCCGATTCTCTCATCTGATGTTTCTATCTCTCCCTCTCCCTTCTTCTCTAAAATAAATACAAACACGTTTTTTAAAAAAGAAAGTGGTGGCACTTATGTGATGTGAATCTCACCTGCAATAATAAAAACAGCTGGCAGAGGCCTTGGGTAGCTCAGGGGTCACCCCCGGGGGAGCCCCACCCCAGTGGAGGTACCTGGGTAGTTCAGGGGTCACCCCCGGGGGAGCCCCGCACAGAGGAGGTACCTGGGTAGTTCAGGGGTCACCCCCGGGGAGCCCCGCACAGAGGAGGTACCTGGGTAGTTCAGGGGTCACCCCCGGGGGAGCCCCGCACAGTGGAGGTACCTGGGTAGTTCAGGGGTCACCCCCGGGGAGCCCCGCACAGTGGAGGTACCTGGGTAGTTCAGGGGTCACCCCCGGGGAGCCCCGCCCAGTGAAGGTACCTGGGTAGCTCAGGGATCACACCCCCGGGAGCCCCACACAGGCACAGTGGAGGTACCTGGGTAGCTCAAGGGTCACCCCCAGGGGAGCCCTGCCCAGTGGAGGCACCTGTATTGTAGCCGTCCTGGAGCTCCATGATGAAGCCGTGGGCGTTCGCCTTCTGCGCAGCCTCCACCACCATCTCGAAGGGCACAGTGGGCAGGCCGTAGGAGATGTTCTCCGTGATAGAGCGGGCAAACAGCACCGGCTCCTGGCTCACCAGGGAGATCTGCAGAGGAGGAGGAGGAGGAGGAAGAGGAGGAGGATGGGGAGGAGGAGGAGGGAGGCGACCTGGGAAGCTGGGACTGTGCAGCCAGCTGTCACCAGGAGCCTCGCCACCCCCGGCCGGCCCGCTGACGCCAGGGGTCTCGGGTCTGAAATCTGATGGGGCCGCGCGGCTCTGCACTGAGCTGCCTCTCTTCCTTCCCACCCATGGAGTCTGCACAACCCTGCCCCCCCCCCTCCAGACTGGGGCCCGCGGGGCTTGCCGCTCGGGGCGAAGCCAAGCTCCCTGACCTCCAGCAGAGCTAGCGGTCTGCCCGGCCCTGGGAAAAGGAGAGAAAGAAGGCAGAGGGCAGCTCTGAGTGAGTCTGCTCCCGCCGGGAGGCAGGGAGGTGCAGCACGCCCCGGCCGCAGACCTCCCTCCTGCCTCACGGTCCTCGGTTAGGAATTTGGTCCACAAAAGCCATGGTATGGCCCGGCCGGCGCAGCTCCGTGGTTGAGCGTCGACCTGTGTGATTCCCGGTCAGGGCACAGGCCCGGGTTGCGGGCTCGATCCCCAGTGTGGGGCGTGCGGAAGGCAGCAGATCAATGATTCTCTCTCATCATTGATGTTTCTATCTCTCTCTCCCTCTCCCTTTCCCTTCCTCTCTGAAATCAATAAAAAAATATTTTTAAAATGATAGTATGGACTCAGGATAGCATTGCAACATTGTAAATAGCAAAATTAAAAAAATTTACAAATTTAGTTGTCCGTAAATTGGGGATTAGATACTTACCGTGTTGTACCCATAAAATCAAATCGTCATACCCACACACAGCAGAGTCTATTTTCCTTTAAAATACGACACCTGGGCCTTTACACGTCGACACATTCGTATACAGAAAGGAAACAGGCAGGAAGGGACACTGACTAAGCTGCTAGCACTGGCTATGCCCACGAGTGGAATGAGTGGAATGGGGAAGGTGAGGTGGAAGGGACGCCCATGACTGAATTAAAAAATTTTCCCAATTATCGGGACTGTGGATAGAATGTTGTACTTTATTGTTTTGGATTTATGAGAATTAAAATGTTAAATTTAGCCCTGACCGGTTTGGCTCAGTGGATAGAGCGTAGGCCTGCAGACTGAAAGGTCCCAGGTTCGATTCTGGCCAAGGTCATGTACCTTGGTTGCAGGCACATCCCCAGGGGGAGATGTGCAGGAGGCAGCCGATCGATGTTTCTCTCTCATCGATGTTTCTGACTCTCTATCCCTCTCCCTTCCTCTCTGTAAGAAATCAATAAAAAATATTTTTTTAAAAAAATGTTAAATTTAAAGGAAAGAAAAGGTATTCACAAAAGAGGAAATCCAAGTGGTGTCAGAAAAATGTCATCAGAAAAATGCAAAAGACCGCCATGAGCCCCCTCTACCCACCCACCGAAGGGCAACAGTCGGGGATGGACCAGGATGTCGCGTGTCTGAGCGTAGCCGCCCCTGCAAGCCTGAGCAGCTCTGCCCAGGGACCCTTCCAGAACGCCGGGGGGCAGCAGCTGGTGGCCGCACGCCTGAGACCACTTCTCAGCCACCCACCCCATGTTCTGTGCACACGGGCAGGCAGATTCCACCACCTATGGCCTCTGCCACCTCCCAGGACCTCTGTGCCCACCGCAAGGCCCTCCCGTGACCTAGTGTGTGTCGGTGATGTGAACGGTGCGTCCTGAACAGCTGGTGTTTCTCGTGCAGGGCGTGCCTGCTCCCTGTCAGCACAGCCTCAGGTACAGAGGGGTCACCAAGAGCCTCCGTTAAGGACTGGAGGCGAGGTCAGTGGGGACCCCGGGACCCTCATCACTGCTGGTGGGTATGAAGGGGCACGACCAGCCCAGTTGCAGGAACGAGGGGCAGCATGCCTGCGGGCACCAGGACACGAC